GTAGGCAAACCCACCCGCACCTGTGTCTTTTATGCAACACACGGTACTCGGCACCCATGCTGCAGCCTCCTCTATTGCGCATAATTTATCAAAATATAACTCTTGGGGGGGGGGGCATCATGTTCAGTATCGATTGTTCACTGTTCTATTTCAATGATTCACTGGGCGACCTTACAAGGGCACGTCATGCTTGTCGGTGCGGCCTTCCCTGCGGTGCGTGACTAACTACCACCACCACCACCGCCACCTCCTCCTCCTCCTTGAAGTGGCTAGGTGGTCACAGATCAGGTGGGATAGGTAGGTGGAAAGGAAAGGGTTGTAAAGAAAATAGAATTTTTCCGAGTTACTAGAAACTCAGTGTTCATTTCACAGTGCCCTGAGCGACTACAGAGCAGGGTTGGTTGGGCACGTTCATTTTACACCGTAACGATTAACGCTAACGTTAAATCGGTACCACTCACATTCCGGTTCTTGATCAGTTTCACTACAGTAGCGACGATCTCGGAATGCGCATTGAAATGCATATAAGAGGCAACACATTGCTACGTTCAGCAAATGCAAGGCCTCGTAGCGCCTGATAGGTAGGCAACATCTCGCCAGCCGTGCATGCGTGTAGTGCGGGTTGGCCTAGCCTGAGCCTCGCAGGCGCCGACCACCTGTAATCAACAAAATTCATGCGCTCGCCAGGATCATGATCAGGAGATTCCCTCCCCCCCCCTTCAACCACCCTCTCAACACACACACACGGGAGGTAGGCAGTGCGCAGTGGGAGAGGGGCCCTGCTTGTCCACGTCATTGGACGTCGACCTGGACGACGCGGGCGCGGACGTCGTCCTGGCGCCGGCGCTGGCTGCGTGCGAGAGGTCGTGGAGGAGCAGGGCCCCTCTCCCACTGCGCACTGCCTACCTCCCGTTTGTGTGTGTAGGGGGGGGGGATCTCCTGATCATGATCCAGGCGAGCACGGATACTAAGAGGAAGTTCTAGTCACAGGCACTTGTCAACTTCCATGTTTCTCACGTCATGTTCCTTTGTATATGCGTCGTTGTTGGGACAGTTGACAGTTGACTGACACACCAGCGGGCTCAGCCACAGCCAGCTAGAGTCACAGTCACCGCCTACGTGGTGTTTGCGGTGAGAAATTCAGCGCCTAGCCTCGCACGGGGTCTATGATGGTGATGCTCGAAAACTCACACTTGAACTTCCGATTCGCGGCTTCTCACATTTTATCGAATTTCTACTAGGTATATCAGAGATAACTAAGGAATATACGAAATATGGGAGAATATTAACGTGGGAATTTATTGCTAAATTGCAAATTATTAAAAAAA